CAGTGAGTGAATGAGACAGTGAGGCAGGGAGTGAGTGAGGCAGTGAGTGCGTAAGACAGTGAGGTAGTGAATGAGGCAGTGAGGCAGTGAGTGAGACAGTGAGTCAGTCAGTGCATGAGGCAGTGAGAGAGTGAAGCAGTGAGAGAGTGAAACAATGAGAGAGTGAGAGAGTGTGAGTGAGGCAGTGAGTGAGTGAGACAGGGAGTGAGAGAGTGAGACTGAGTCACTGAGTGAGGCAGTGAGTGAGTGTGAGTGAGACAGTGAGAGAGTGAGAGTGAGGCAGTGAGTGAGACAGTGAGACAGGGAGTGAGAAAGTGAGACAGTGAGAGTCAGTGAATAAGAACGTGAGTGAGTGAAGCAGTGAGTGAGTGAGGCAGTGAGAAAGTGAGGCCGTGAGAGAGTGTGAGTGAGTCAGTGAGTGAGCCAGTGAGACAGGGAGTGAGAGGGTGAGACAGTGAGTGAGAGAGTGAGAGTGAGGCAGTGAGTGAGTGATGCAGGGAGTGAGAGAGACAGTGAGTGAGAGAGTGAGACAATGAGTGAGTGGGTGATGAGTGAGACAGTGAATGAGTGAGTCAGTAAGTGAGGAAGGCAGTGAGAGAGAGAGGCAGTGAGAGAGTGAGGCAGTGAGAGAGTGAGACAGGGAGTGAATGAGACAGTGAGTCAGTGAATGAGAGAGTGAGTCATTGAGTGAGGCAGTGAGAGAGTAAAACAGTGAGAGAGTGAGGCAGTGAGACAGAGTCACTGAGTGAGGCAGTGAGAAAGTGAGGCAGTGAGTGAATGAGACAGTGATAATCAGTGAATGAGAAAGTGAGTGAAGCAGTGAGTGAATGAGGCAGTGAGATTCAGTGAATGAGAAAGTGAGTGAATGAGGCAGTGAGAGAGTGAGACAGGGGGTGAATGAGGCAGTGAGTCAATGAAACAGTGAGTCAGTGAGTGAGAGAGTGAGGCAGTGAGTCAGAGAGTGAGGCAGTGAGTAAGCAAGGCAGTGAGACAGTGAGGCAGTGAGAGTGAGAGAGTGAGTGAATGAGACAGTGAGGCAGTGAGTGAGTGAAGCAGTGAGAGAGTGAGACAGTGAGAGGGTGAGAGTGAGACAGTGAGTGAGTGAGTGATTGAGTGAGACAGTGA